GATACCCGTGGCTTTACTTATATTTTCATGGAGTATAATTCAGTTTGGACTATTTTAAGGACTGCTGATTTATTTATTGATTTCGTTCTACTTTTCAAGTTTTGATAGAACACCGGAAAACTATTCCAGACAGAGTTTTAGATTAAAATAACTGATATGGATTTGGAATATAATGTGGAATGCAAGCACGATTTCTTGAAGCTGTTTGAAGGTAATTATTTAAAGCTATATCTTAAGTGAGAAAATGATTATATATGATATTCTAATAAGTATGGAATACTTTTCCACTGTTTTCTTCTTAGAAAATTGAAACTTACCATTTGATCTAGGGATAAGCTAGCGATTACAACAAAAAGATCATGAATAATGATACTTCTTTTTTAAAAGCTTTTTAGAATGATTTATTTTAAAGATTGCATGAGAGTGGGTTTTTGTTATAGGAGGTGGTACTGATGCATCATTGGTACACGTATACTGCAACAATCCACAAGATGAACCAATACAAGAGCGGTTTAGAGAAGTGAAGTCCAGAGGACGATATATAACACTTTATTTTTTCACGGACAGATCTATTGAGCGAAGGGGATTTCGTCTGGAATACAGTTTTTCCGGCTTTGAGGATGGTGGGTTTATTTTGTGCTTATATGAACTTCTTAACAGCAGTAATATTTTGCACATAGATATTTTTGTTTCTTTTAAATTATTATTTTATAGAATGTGGGTTTACGACAAACCGTATAACAGGTACTGTGCTAAGTCCGAGAAGTCCCCAAGATTATCCGAATCTTGTTTATTGTTTGTGGGATATTTCGGTACCGTCTGGCTATCATGTAGCATTATACTTCCACCGTTTTGATGTGCAGAAGTCGGATGATTGTAGCAAGGATTACATTAAGGTTGTTTTAAAATTTCATTAATCTTCTATGCAAGTCTTGTAAAGCAAAATGAGGTTATCAATCGCCATTGAGATAAGGTGCATTAGCTTGTGAAATTGGGACACGGTATTTATATCTAAGATATTCCTCGTCGAAATTAAGTATGATTTTGTTATTGAATTCTTCCTAATGATAAAAATAAAGGTTACAACACATCGTCATTGTCATTACTTAACCAATATCGATTTTGTTTTACTAAATCACAATATTTAGTATTGTCTAAATTTTTTGTTATGTGTTTACAATTACCATTTCTTCAGTCCCTGCTATAATTTATGGAAGTTGATATATTATAATTTATGAAAGTTTTTAATATTTCACTTTAGATAAGCCAGGAACATCACTTAAGGGCTATGGCACCAGTTGGGGGTTACTACTTCTTGTTCGACCATGAAGAAGAGTTGAAGAAGATTTGTGGATACGAAACACCTCGTGTGTTCCGTTCAGAAAGCAATCGCATCAAAATCGAATTCAAGTCGGATGACAAAATAACAGGGAGAGGATTCAATATAACGTGGAAATCAGGTTGTACAATCGTTCCTCGTTCTTGCTTTCTTCAATAATGATACCAAATTAGGAAGCTTTATAACATATGAAAGATTAAGGAATTTGTTAATTCACAAAGGCATGAGTTGTGCGATCACTATAAAATACCAGTCAAATATTTTTATAGACTATAAAGAGTATGTGAACAGGTTAAAATGACTTTCGATAGCATTTGAAATAGCAAGCAGAAATATTTTAGAGTGTGGTACTACTTTTCGATTGAACCACGGTGTGGTTACATCACCCCACTACCCACGTTTTTATCCAAACGAAGACATGGAATGCGATTATCTGATAGAGCCCGAGTACGATGGTACACTTATAATCACATTAAGAATTCTTGACCTGGAGCTTGACCCGCATATTTGTGCGTTTACGCTTCTATTCTATTTCAAAGTTATCGCAAAGTTTCCTTTTTCTTCATTAAACGTATCAACAGTGTTGATTGCTCTTCGTCGAAAAATAGTATAACCTGAGGCATTAGAACTTTATTTTGCGTCTGAATACGCTATGAATACAGTATACATACTACTACTTACCTTTAAGTATCGGATAAGGCTTTCAGCCAATAAATTAGGTTTTAAAAAGTGAAACTTGTGGAATGTAATTATTATCTGATAAAGCCGAGCATGATAGCATATTTATAGTTATTATAAAGATTCTTGATTGGGAGTCGTACAAATAAGGCAATACATGTTTGTAATGAAAATTTTCACCATTGGGTTGCAATAGGAATTTTCAAAATTTTCAGATGATTATAATCGACAGCCATGCAACACAGATTTCTTGGAGCTAAGAGATATTTCAGCAAGACGTGTTATTGATACATTTTGCGCGAATCGTGATATCAGCAGTGAAATAGCGCCCATATCTGTTAAGGTAAGCGCTACATTTTATTACAAACGGCATTCATTTATCAGTGCAATATTATGTTTTTTATTGAAAGCTTCCTACTGTCTATAGCTGGCATCACTCTAAAACAGCAAGGAATATGTAAAAATTTAAAAAATCCAATGTATGCATTAAACTAATGAAGTAATTCACAAATTCATAGGCACCGCAGTGAAATAAAGGAGGCAGCTTCTTTTTTTTAAGATGCATTTACGAAAGACTTTCCAACTACATTCAGTGTAGCTTCTATTCCCTCATACAATCACATGTAAATTTAGAATATGCTTAAAATTTCATGCTGTTGAACGATTGAGCAAAAACTTTCGATGCAAGAAAATGGATTTTGAAAATTTTAGGGACCAGTAGGTGTGCGTTTCGTGTCAAATACATCAGTCTTTGAAGATCTCCTTAATCATCGTAAAAATCGCCGTGGTTTCAAATTATCCTACGCTTTGTCAAGTAAGTAATTTGAACGGTCATTATGACTTTCAGAAAATGAGCTCTTTGCTTTAAAACATGAGTTTTTTTTGTTAACATTCATCTATATCAAGAAAGAATCCAACAAATCTTTTCCGTTTTAAATCACGTTCATTATGGATCATCTCATACTTCCGTTTTTAGAACTAAATAATGAATGATGACAGAAAGAAAGTATTGATACGCTCATTCTTACTCACATATTTTAAAAGCTGTGCATCTTTATCTTTTTTCATAGAACAATTCGGTTTACTTTGCAGAATGCGGTGGCGAAATTAATTTTAAAGAAGAAACAGGATTGATGTCAGCAGTTATTTCGTCTCCTGGTTTCCCTCTCCCATATCATCACAACCTTGATTGCGTTTGGAACATATCTGCTCCAGAAAAACGGATTATTAGTATTAAGCAAGTTTTATTTTTTTTCACTTAGTCTTTAAGTTACTAATCAAATAAGCAATTCTGATACATTAAAACTTGATATTATTTGCAGTATTTCTTAAGTGAAAAAGATATTGACATTCATCATCAACTTCTGTTGATGAGGAGCCATTGTTACAAATTTTGACTAAATAAATTTCAGTTAACAGTAGTACCATTCAGCGAAATGAATTTGTTGAATCACATTACTCTATTCCTATTACATTTTCAATGCATTTTCTGACAAAAGTTTTCATGCTACTGTATCACTTCGATGAAGTAATACACAGGAAGAAGTATTAGATATTTTCTTCTTTATTTTAGACACACACATTTGGATTTGGAAGATTCATCGGAATGTTTGTTTGATTTTGTGGAGTTTTTCGATGGTTCACAAATTAACAATGCAACAAGCATGGGCAAATTCTGTGGCGCAATCGTCCCCTCCAACCAAATGTCAACAACTGGTCAATTCCTGGTTGTAAGATTTTATTCGGACAGAAGCGCTAGCAAAGGAGGATTCAAAATTATCGTAACTGCCTCTCTTGGTATGTTTTTCCTCTCTGTCTTTGTTTTTCTGAACAAATTCCTATACAAGATGGACAATCGTTCAATGGAAAAAGTTACTTTTAATTTAACTTAAAATATTTGTAAAATATTGTTTTTAACTTAAAATATTTGTAGAGAAAAAAGAGTTAGCGAACTGATGATGACATTAATCAATTTTTCTCAAAAAAAAAAAGTAATATTTGATTTTTGTTCGGATATCAATGAATGCTGGGGCGACTATCATAGAAAATTTTTGACCAATTATTTTCCAGTCATGCAGTAAAATTGTGTATACTTAAAATCAGGTATTTTTACTCTTATAAAGCAAATCTCTGTTAGTTTAGGTCCAGACGGAGGATGTGGTGGAGAGATCAATGTTGATAGCAGTTACGAGCTCGTAGCACCTTTGAATCCAAAAACAGGTCAGTACTACAACTTTCTGCGGTGTGGTTGGACACTCAAAGCACCGGTAGGAAAAGTGTTGGAAGTGCAACTGAAAAATTTGGAATTGGAAGCCCCTGATACAGAAACAGAACGTTGCCACGATTACATTGCGGTATGAACACTTGTTATGAAATCTTTCAAAGTTATAGAATCATTCGACTTGATGCTTCTGAGCCTCTTTTGGCCACTTCTTCCTCTTCTGGATTCGCTGTCTTAGCTTTAACAAAAAATTTCGAAAATTTCAGATTTATGATGGTTATAAGACGATATCCCCTATGCTCCTATCAAATACATGCAAGGTCATGGAGCAACTCCCTTTGATCATGCGAAGTTCTTATCGTGTACTGCACATTTATTTCGAGTCCGATTCCGACAAAACATTCAAGGGATTTACGATGGAATTCAAACCTATTACAGGTATGATTTTCAGCTGTCAAAAAATACATTGCTTATGTTTTGTTTTACGATAAAATCATTGTTCTTCCGTTTTACTCGTCCAGATCAAAAAAGTGTAGTTAATTTATAACACTGTTGAGCTTGCAATGTTTTACGCCTGTGATGCTTCCAAATGCGCAATTGTTTTATAACCTTCTATTAGCGGCCGATTTCAAAAACAGTTCAAAATTTGACTAAGTTCCACTTATTAATTCAAGGAAAATTAAATTCTCATTTGAATTGGAGCTTTTTGAAGTTTCGTCGTTACAGCACCATGTGGAGGACGGAGAACTGCTGCCACCGAGCCCGCTGAACTACAGTATGAAAGTGAAAGAAGTAAGATATATTTGTCATTATTTGTCACTATCGTGGTCATTCCAGTTTTATTCGTCGTGTTTAAAGGTGTTTGATGCTGCTAATGATTTCGATCACTGTTCGATGAGGAATAGTAGTATTTAAGGCACTAGGGATTGTTTAAATTTCTGTACATTTATATAACCCGAAGTATTAGAACTGGTAAAAGCAAAATATGCTTGAATAGAGCATTTATGAAGAAATAATATTAATGAACTTTGAAATCAAGCAATTCTACTGTTTATCACTCGTATAAATTTCAGTGCTTACGCGGACATTTCCCAGGCATCAACGTTGTCGCTGGATAATTTATTCAAAGGAGGGAATGCCTTTACGAGTTGACTTCAGGTTCAATATTTTATAATGTTTCTGCAAACCTTATAATTGAAAGAAAAAAGTAAGGCTGAACTACATTCAGTTAAGAAAACAAATGTAAAACTCCATAACATTTCTGTAAAATTTGGTAATTTTTTAAATTTATCGCTTCCAAAAAATTCAAAATATTGAATCTCATTTGTTTACTTAGATACTCAGTGTAGTTCAGCCTTACTTTTCAGTCAGTTCTCATTTCCTTCTTTAACACCCGACTGTACCGATGAATATATGGAAATCCGTGATGCTGGCACACCTGCTGATTGTCATCATCCTGCTTGTCGTAATACTAATAATGGACTGCAGACTATTCGACTATGTGGTAACACACTCCCGGCTGACTTTATTTCAGGGACAAGTGTTATTCAGGTAAAAAGTTTAATCATTTAGAAGTGAAGTGAAAATACTACAGCTTGTTTCTCCATTTAGATCAAGCACCCTTGATTATAATGAAGTACCATGCAGTTCTTACTGTCAAGGCTAGTTTATAAGTTGAACATGCCATTTAAATATTGGAATTTAATTGTTCCGGAATTTTTGATCAGAGACAATATTTAGTAATTCCAGGTAACAATATCGGCCATTCTGCAGAGCGAATACATCGCCAGATTTCGCCTCTCTTATCAAACGCTTAATTGTTAGTTTTTGTTCTTCCCTCTACTGCAAAAATTTACTTGAATTTGTTTGTAAATCTCAAAATTTTCAAAGAATGCTTCAAATTGAGCTAATTCTATTGGTTATTCGTCCACATACTTAAGAAAGTTTATGAAAGAGAGAGACAGAGAGGAAAGAGAATGCATGGTGTATTTGACTGCATGGTGTATTTCGAAAGTTCTTTATCTTAGTGCACGATTTGTGTTGTCAACCAGTTTTTCCAGCATGCAATCGAATAATTGATACCCATCTGTCAATGACTGGTCATATAACAAGTCCAAACTATCCAAATCCCTACGACCATAACAGCTCCTGCTCTACTATCTTAACGGCTTTAACCGGATATCACATATTCCTGGTTTTTAAGGACTTCAAGCTGGAAAAAGTTCGCCGATCGCTTAATGACCGATTCTCTACTTCTATTCGGGAAATGTTTGTCCTCATTTACTTCCATTCAACCACTTTGTGTTTATTTCCCATTCCTTCCCAGCGTAAAATTAAGCTTTCGATCAATCTTGACAAGGCGATTACACTAGGTCAGTGTGTAGCTATTTATGACTATTAAAAAAAGTGTTCAGGCTAACTGATGGACGAAGTTTTGGACCATTTCAAAATGTAATTGATCAGTATAATGGCCTTTACAGCAATGAATCCTGCGAATATGATTATATTGAGGTGGAGTATTGTTATTCCTCAATATTTTGACCAGAAACAAATACATCGATACCGTAATAATGATTTGAAGAAACCATTACATTAAAAGTTCTACTTTCATTTCTTCTATTATAGAATTTGGCGGAATTAAACTTAACTATGAACCTTGATATCACCGTAGCGTTTTTTCGTAATTTTTCCGAAATGTTTTCTAAAGTTTGGTATTTTCAAGGCCTATTAAAGTACCATGCTATTTTGACCAGAAACAAATACATTCCCTAATACAGATAATTGATTCCTTTGAAAATCGAACAGAAAGATATTGCGATTATAAACTACCGCCCAGCTTTCTCAGCTCTAACAACGTGCTAGAAATTTATTTCAAAAGCGACAGTTCAATGGCACCTGGAGGATATGATGCCTACTATTACACTGTTCGACCATCAGGTTCAACCTGTGGATTTTATACCATTTCAACTGCCATACATGATAATGTATTTTAGGTTCCACTGTTAAACTTAACCCAGAATTTGTAATCAATAAGTCGCATTCTTTGTAGATAGTCTATCATTCATCTACTACGATTTTGGTGTCATAAGTGAGCCGCAGGGTGCAGTCACAAATGTTGGTTATCCAGGATATAAGAATCAACAGAGAATGAAGTATTTTACAAAATCTTCAAATAGCCTGCAGATGTGATGAGTAGGGAATCCTCGCAAATATTTTAGGCTTCCTGATTCTCTTCCGTTTCTCTTTGATATTCTCAACTTTAAATTCTATTTTTTAAAAATAATTTTAACAGTTAGGACTAACTCAGCGATTCTTCGCCTTGTGTATAAATTGTAACGCAATTAGATTGAAATGAATGATTATATTATAAGATTCCTCAGGATGTTGATGCTCCATGATGTGTAGTTGCACCACCAATAGGGGAATGAATGCCCGGTCAACACGTTGTCACTGAAGTTATTGACCTCATGTTTTTATGTTTTTTTTCTTGAAAAACAATATTATAGATGGAAAATCGATCCACCAAATGGCCATAAATGTAAATTAATTCTCTTGGCGATGGATTTTGGAAAGAATACAAATGGTGAATGCACTGAAGGTGATCATATGGTGCTGGGTGAGATCAGATCTGAAGGATCCGAGAATATACCACTCAGTTATCTTCCGTGCAGAGATGCCGTAAGATTTTGTAATTTAATAATCGTGGTGTATTTCTTATGTTTAACTTGATATTGTGCACATTTAAATTGAAACTTAAAACTTGAAAAATTTGAAAAATTTTTCGACTTGAAAAACAAAACTTGAAGTGAAAAAAAACTTGAAAAATTCAAAACTTGAAAAATAAAAAATTTTTCGGATAGATTAATAGTAAGGTATATAGAAGCGAGAAGCGAAACTATGAATGACATTATACACAGTTGGAGAAGTTGTAAGTGTTAAGAACAATCCGTCTGCTCTCTGATGTTATGTTAGAATTAGAGACTATATTCTCCTGTCTTACATATCTCAACATACAGATGAACTTGAAACTTTTTAGATGTGAGTACGAATACTGAGATATTTTATATCCACATGATGGTGAACTTTTTAGGTGACATTGCCGAAAGAGATACTTATCGAACCGGGTACCTCAGCCCTCCTTGAATTCTATACCGATGATAATTCGGTGGATAACGGTGACGGATTCAGGATCGAATGGACTTGCGAGAATTATCATATTATGCAAGTGTGACTCTACCATTTGATGTTATCTGTTATGCTCTTTCGTGGTGTTTATACTATAATGCTACTAACTATGTGGTAATGCTAAGTGCTTTTCTAATGTTCCTGTTTGACCTGGTTCAATTCGGTTCAGTTTCAGTTGATCGGTTGTATAGCTGTAAATTACAATCATCATTGCGTTTAGATGGTACACTGTGCACTTTACTGTTTCAGACGAACAATTTAAAAAGTATGCAAAAATAGTAATCTAAACACATTTGAACTCGATGATATATGCTACTCCCTTTTCGAATGTACTGTTGGGGATCAACATTGTGGTTGGTATTCTGAAATTTGGTGGAAATACTGTTTACCAAAAATAATGCAGAGTGACTATACTAGCGGACCAACAAGCACTCATCCCTTAAGTTTACCTCACTCCTTATAGATCGAATAACTAAACAACTAGCGGTATCATGGCTTGCTGACGTATCTGTAGACTGAATTAGTGCTGCAACTTTTTGAGAAACTCTGACGACTAGAACTAAAGTAAACTGAAAATGCAGCATAACAAATTCTTCACAGAATATTTAGACCTTCATAGAATACTTAACTTCACGGTATGAATGTGACGAATCTGCTATAAAAGAAACAGATTTTTTTATGCCAATTTTATACCAATTAAAACGTCGGACTTTTACTCCAAAATCATCCAAACGATGGAAATAAAGTTATGACAAGAGTAAGGACAAATACCATCCGAAACTGCTACCAAAAGACATCGTTGAGATGCGTTTGCACAACGGGTGGGACCACCGTCACGCAGAGATATGGACGTAGTGAACCCACTTTAATGTTGTGGCGTGTTTGCTTTTTACCGAGATATTTGCTGAGTGAATTTGATAGGAGTTATTAATGCTTTGTTGAGACACTTTTCATATTTTCTTGCTGTTGTCGCATGATGATGAATGCAACTTCAATTCATTCCCTCCCAAAATCAAAGTTTACGCTTTTTTTTTCCTCTCACTTCATTTCACCTGCAACTTTGCTCATTTTTTGATAGCCAGTTTTCTCAATTCGTTTTTCAACAACAAAAGAAAGAAAAAACACTTTAACAGTTTTTTTCAACTTCGTTTGTGTTCTTTCGGTAATTTTATTCTTATTTCACAGCTGTCGCAGAATTTCTTCCTGACTTCTAAAACTGTCTCGAATATTGTTTTAGACCAATCAAACAAAATCGAATATTGTTTTAGACCAATTAAACAGTATTGATGACAGATTTCTTACCACTTCCATGACAACTTCATCGTCGTATCACCATTTTAGCACTGTCATAACTTTGGTAATTTTTCTGCAGTAGTCGAAGGCTTTTGTACAATGTCAAGTTTTCCTTTTCATGAAAAATAAAAATTTTGCAAACATTGGTGATGGTATATTCGTCCATAAAGTCTGATTTCAAAAAATTGGCTGATTTTTATTTGTTAATATTACAAATTTGTTGCATGAAGTGACTGGTTGGGAAACGGTGATTGCGTTCTCTAAGAATCCTCTACAAACCTGGAATAGTCCTTTCGATGTTTGTTATTCCCGATAGCAAAAGATATGCTGTCTCTTTTTGGTTTTTCAATAATCGAAGGAAATTATTATTATTCCTTGCTCACTGTAAATCTTATTTTATCGTGCCACTGGAGGTACCGGTTCAGATGTTGAGGGCATTCCCCAAAATGGATGAATCATCAGTTAGAACTGTTCTTCACAGTGATGTGTTTTGTTGGATCAGAAGGCTTTCATCATTACCTTGGATTTCATCCAAGTGTTGCTGATAATGGTTTAACCCAGTAGATCCATCGAAATAATTTCTGCTACATCTTGACTAGGTATTACTGAAAGTTATCGCGATTTGTTGTGTTTTCACCACTTACTGCATGGTGTTAATTGTTGCAGTTAATTTTTAGATTGTTAGAAGGGAAGGATTACTGATTTATTTTACTGTACTAAGATTAATCCCTCAAGATGTCGTTTCCACGAAATACGTCAAATGCAATGCTTGTTGATTTTTTAAAAAGTAAGTGTCCAATAATAAATAACATATATACTTAATGTATTAACAACCGTGTTAAAATTGCCATGGTATATCGTCTTGCTTAAGTTAAAAAGAACGCAGAACCTGGTCTATTCATTAAATAAGAACTGAGCTCCTGACCTAATAGCTTTTAGACTAAGCTTAATAGACTAAGCTGCTAGTCAATTTCCCCTTAGTCTGCATGTATGCATATTGTTTATTTGTTTATTTAATTAATCAATTAATTAATTAATAAGTTGATTCGTTTATTTATTTATTTACTTATTAGTTTATTCCTTATTCATTTATTTATTTATTTATTTATTTACCTATTTATTTATTTATTCACTTATTTGTTTATTTATTTACTTATTTATTTATTTATTCACTTGTTTATTTATTTATTTGTTTATTTATTCGCCTATTTATTTATTTATTTATCCGTTAATTTACTCATTTATTTATTTAATTAATTAATTAATTTATTTATTTATTCATTCATTTTTTTCATTCACTTACTTGTTCATTTATTTAGAGAGAGGGAGAAAACAGATAGATGTTAGCTTCAATTTCATGATACTAGCTTTGATATTATTTCTAGTTTTGTAATAGTAAGTGGTTAATGCTTAGAAATGCTGTATAGCTTCTGCAGCACATTTTAGCTTTATGGTAGAATGATACTGATCGATGGTTATGATTGATATCGTTGATCATTTGTTGACTAGTATTAGTGAAGAGCTTGATTGTAATCTTGCATCTTTTTAGAAGTAGGACATATCCAGGATTACAGAGTAGAGGAAGTCATGCTGGGGGTTGATCGAGCTGACTTTTGTCCACAGAATCCTTATCAGGATTGCCCACAACAAATCGGGTACAATGCAACTATTAGCGCTCCTCATATGGTAAGTATTCTCTTTCATATACATTTTGCTATTGTTTTAACTGTGTGTGATAGATTAAATCCCAGCGCTACACCGTAATTTCAAGATATGCCGTTAGTTCAGCTACAAAGTCATAAAATTATCTGATCGGTAGCTTTCCATGTCAATTTTTTTCGTAGTGTCGAAATGTTGAAATGAAAAAGTCATTTTTCAAGTTTTCCTTTTTTTTTCTTGTTTTTAGCATGCGTTGGCTTTAGAACTTTTGAAAGGCCACTTAAGGGACGGCAACACGGTACTGGATATTGGCTCCGGTTCCGGCTACTTAACAGTTTGCATGGCACTCATGGTCAGTATTATCATTCTTTACAATTCAAATATTCGAATATAAGACAAATACGGAATATAAGACGCATACTTCAATTTTGTGAAGTTCTCCTCACCATACAAAAAGATTTTGCACTGATAACTGAAAAACTTCAAGTTTAGTAATTTTTGCTGTGAAATGCTTGAAGATATGTGAATTGGTAGAAATTTTTGTTTGTTATGACTTTGTTACATATTCAGCACAATCGGTTTTGTAGGTCGGTGAGAGAGGAAGAGTGATTGGAATTGATCACATCAAGGAACTTGTAGATCTTTCGATCAATAACATTAATAAACATCATGGTGATCTGCTTATGGATGGACGAATAACAATGTTTGTAAATGATGGGCGTAGTGGATACAAAGCTGACGCTCCATATATGGCTATTCATGTTGGTGCTGCCGCACCGAAACTTCCTGATACAGTATGTTAATTGTAGTTGTAGTATGTTCAGTTTACATAAGAAATTCACTCTGGTTTATCACTAAACTCATTTTTGGAGGAAAATATTGTCCCGTTTACGGAGATGATTTCCTTTAGTTGTAATAGGGTAATTGATTGGTCTAAACATCCTCGTTTTGGAGAACTCGTATATAGTAATTACTGATCGTTTTACCCAATAAGCACTGTTATTATTGAAGCAGGCACTACTCCAAATTCAGTGTCTCGTATTATATGTGCTATTCCCAGTATTGAAATAAGTGGAACATATCTTCCAGAAGTTCAAATGCGTCAAAATACACTGATTGTTTCATGCTAATTAGTATAGTTATATCCAATCCTCTGATCACCTGAAGTGTAATAGTGAAAATTTAAAGATTTGGTAGTTTCAGTTGGTGGATCAACTTGCTCCAGGTGGTCGGATGATTATTCCAGTAGGTGAAGTTTTCAGTGATCAGCACTTTGTTCAGGTTGACAAAGATTTGAATGGTAATGTGAAGGTTGAAGAATTATTTGGTGTTTTATTTGTTCCACTTACAGATCGAAAACACCAACTTGGCCATTTGAAACTTAGGTAATTTCCTGTATAAATTTCGTTAATGCATAGTGCATGTTTGATATAAATGGATTAATTTGATTTCAATTATAAAGGTCCTAACGATTCAGCAGAAGACGGTTGTGGAGATTACTAAGATAAAAGTTTATCAACTTTTATCTTCCATTACAGCAGGTGGTTTTCTATGCATTTTTAAGATTCTGTAAGCTAATTCAGCTTTCCCTTATCTTTTCAGTTTCATTTTGCATTAAATTCTTCAATCTCGATCTCAGCTTTGTGACTGCCTTGATTGAATTATTGTTTATTGATGTACAAGTGTATTGATGTTCCATGTTATTAAAATTCAAATCTTATTGCATCTCTTATGCTTACTTGTATAATCGTATTACAATTAATCGGTGACAACTGTAATTAAAAATCGGTGAATCTTCAAAATGGTGTTTAATTTTTGCCAGTTCTAAATACGATACTTTCAGCTTTTTTAAAGTTGTAATTTAAGTTTGTTTTCGCCGTCATTTCTAAAGAGACCAATTATCTTGCAGATATTCTTATTGCAGTTCTTGGAAGATCATAACATTTTATAAATATTGTTGCATGTCAGAAATAAAGATCTCAAACTTTCCTTCTTTCAGATAACCAGAATTGTTAGTACAGATGCTTTATTTATGAGCAGCAGCATAGTCGGCATTGAAATGCCAAGTTATTCTGGTGTATTTCTCAACTGGGGAATGAGTGCGGGGTAGAAACTTGGAGTGTGTGGTTTTGAAATGCATCAAAAACGGAAATTTGGGTTGATGCATTTAGGGAATTGCTAACGAGAGAGGAATGATAGTGATCCATGCGAAGTCTTTTTTTATAGTTTGCCGTGAGGCGAATCTATGAGGAGCAGAGATTGAGCAGCATTGGCACTACTTTTTGAGACGAAATATGGCATGGCGTTCGCACGGTGAATCAAATGCCTCATTGGTAGAAAATTTACGTAGTTAGTTATTTGCAGTTATTTTTGAAATGGAATTCGTAAAGAAATAAAAAGTTTTGAAATCGGCTGGTTGTCGACTTTCCGCTGAAAATCTTTGATGGCATCTACTGTTGCGTATGAACTTTTTACATGAAACATTTCTCGATATGTTTTTACTGAGCAGAACATTTTTACATCGACCAATTTACGTGAAGCTCTTTATCTTCGAAGCTTGGGATTAAAGAGATTTGGTCATCAGGAGATCTGGAGCTATGGGAAGAAAATTCAAATGTAGAAACTGCAACAGACCGCAGAAGTATTTGCAGGGAATGGCTTATTTAAAGATGAGCGAGTTAAGGTGACAATGTTGAGGGTTGATCGAGCTGATTTTTGTCCTCGAAATCCATATTTGGATAATCCGGAACCAATCGGTTGCAATGCAACGATTAGTGCGCCTCATATGGTTAGTTTACTTTCCATCAAATTACCAAATAGACTGTAATGGAAGGATGCGGAAATAAGAATTTATACTATAATAATGGTTCATGGTTCGTTTTGTACTTTTATAAATGCGAGATTATAAGCATTTTTGGAAACATCCACTAGTAGCAGATGATGCAGATTAAGTTCTTAGACAGTTTAGTGTTGTGCTTATTCTTTCCTGATGTTTTGTATACTTTTTTGCTTACCGGAATAGTCGCCATCAATACATTAATATAATGTATTCCAGCATGCTGCTGCACTTGAACGGCTCAAGGATTACTTGATGGAAGGTGATAGAGCACTTGATATTGGTTCCGGTTCCGGTTATCTAACAACATGCATGGCATATATGGTGATGATGTTAATGAGCACATGAAGTTCCCAGTTATTAAAATATTCTGATTTAGGTTTTAGGAATTTATTGGTGCTTACCATTTCAAAAAAGAGAATTCAAAAGAAAAGAATTCACGAGATTTTTCCTGTACAAGTGGCTACAGTTGGCTACAGTTGTTTCCTATTAGTAGAAATATTTTAGTAGTTATTTTTTTTCGATATTATTTATGTTGTTATGTTGTCGCCACTGCTTCTGTGTTTCGCCTTTGAAAGTGAGTCAGGCAAATTTAGTATCACATAAAGCCATACAATGATTCTTTATAGGTTGGTGCAAGTGGTAAAGTCGTTGGAGTGGAACATATTAAACAGCTAGTGGACTTATCAATCAGCAATATCAAAAAAAACCATGCGAACCTTCTAGAAGAAAGAGTACTAATAGTTGAAGGCGATGGGCGCAAAGGCTTCCCACAGTACGCACCTTATAAGGCAATTCATGTCGGAGCTGCAGCACCAAATGTTCCTGATGAGGTATTTCTATATCTCGCTAATTCGGTAATTTGTGTAAGTCGATACTATAGTACGGACTTTTCGCGGATCGTGCTTTTCTCACTTTTTTTTGTGATTATATCGCTTTATCCCATCGCTTGCCAGATTTACTAAGTGTATAACTTCATCAGTGTACTGATATCGCACATAAGTTTTGTTTAAAAAAGTTATTGGTTTCGCCAGTATTGATTTTAAAGTTATTGATTTTTTGTTACCAGTGAAAAACGATTTCTTTATTTCAGTTGTTGAATCAGTTAGCTCCTGGAGGACGAATGTTGATACCGGTTGGTGCTGCACATAGTGATCAGCGTTTTTTACAAGTTGATAAAGATAGCAAGGGTAAAGTTACGGTGAACGATCTGATGGGTGTAATTTACGTTCCGCTTACTAACAAAGAGAACCAAATTGGACGGAATCAGTGACTTTTTTTTTATGTAATTTGGACACTTCTGTTGGTGAACTGAGGTGATGTCAAGTTCTGAACAGTTATTTAGATGGGTCGTGGGAGCAGATGTGCGGATTGGAAGATTTAGTATTATTATGCTTCCCCCCAAAAATATTGCTAATGAACGGCTTATTCGGTATCGGGAAGTTATTAATACCATTGCTCTTTGTTTAATGGATACTTTATGGAAGATTCTGATTTGTGATTTGTTTACATACCGTTCCAAAATTTTGGAATACTTCCGTGGAATACAACATGTTACCTTTTATGGTCTGACCATAGAAGTATTTGTACATATATTCATTTTCTGCTTATGCCATTGTCTTTATATCATCGGATGCCCTTGTAATTCGTATTAGCTTATAAACATTATTATGGTTTTGCCCCTTTTTTTGAGTTTGTAGAATTGAGCACAGGATGACCGACATTCTTCAGATTTACGAGTTACTTCCACGAACAAACTGGGAATTGTATAGTTTCATTTTCTGAGTGGGGATGAATCTGTAAATTTGACGGGGAAGTTTTTAGCTCAGGGAGCTGCATTTTAGAGGTTTTTCGAGAGGCTTATCTCCACTCTTAACTGATAATGTTGGACCTACCTTTTCTGTTTTTCCACCACTTGCTCGAATTCGTCCAGTTAGTGAAAAATATTAGTCATTATAAAAACCAAGTCGGGAAGCAACTGGACTAACACTTTAATTTCTATACATCCGACTAGATTTCTATCACTTTCCATTTGGTCTCGTAGTGATTTGGATTAGCTGAGTGGTCATATCATTTGCCATGTTTTTTTTGTTGTCATGACTGGTCATTTTCAAAAATATTTGTACAGTCATCCGAAGCAGCACTCCAGCTTTCGCTTTCTCCTTCCTTGGAATGTAGATCTTTTTTCGGCCTCTTCCTTTTCTTGCTGATAGTTGTTTGTTTGTAGTGATATTTGCTTGTTAGCGTATTTCGAATGCTATTTCCCAGATATTCTTATTCATATAGTAATCTCGAGTCCGCAATTTTTGTCGTTATTCGCTGGTAAAAAATCTCCGTCCCAGTTCGCTTCTTGAAAACAGAAATTTGTTAACGCATAAGAATTGCCGCTTCCGTACAATATATGATTTCTATGCTTTCGGTAGCTCATGCCATATGACCGTGCACATTCATCAACCAATGTACTCTCCCTATCTGCCTGAAGCCTTTAACAATATACGCAATCATTTCGTCACTATCCAGCACTACCATCCGATACCGTTTCAGTGTTGCATATAAACGATTCGGAGTTCAGTAATACGTGCTTTCTACAGAATTTTATTGTAAGCGTTTCAAAGCACCATAAGAGATATAAGCAAAACAAACAAACAATAACCAGCGGGTATTAAAAATGAGCCCGTGTTACTGTTAGCCGGAAGAGTGTCAAACAGATTATATCCATTATATCCTGAAGAGGAAATTCATCCATCCTTTAGGCTTATTTTATTGCATGCATGCATATGAAACAACGCAAATTAAATCGAGATCATGAATTGCTTTAGCCGGCTTTGATGGGCAGAGAGCAGACAGCATGGTGCATCAAAAACCCTGCAAATGTTTTGTTGGCAGTCTCAAAAAAGTATTGTTTTAATGAAAATTAGGATATGAGAAGGGAATCCTGAACACGTAACAAAACCGATATCAACTTCATAATCAAATCAGATAATCCTACTTAATTTTTTTCTTGTAACTAACAAGAACAATTGAGATGAAAAAGGAGATTCAGTATGCATGCTTATATTTCTTCCATTTCTTCGTCCTCCTCAGATTTCTTCACATCCCGAGGTCGAACAAATACCCCGTGGTTACTTTTGCAAGTGAAATACCTGCATATTTACAAATTAAACGCAGAGAAATTTTCTCCTTAAAATATTAATACTACGTGGTCTGCAAAGAAATTTCGGGAAACTAACTTCTCCTTCGGAAACCGGACTTGTAATTTGTAAATGACGTATTTTTGGAACTTCGATTCCGATATATAACTATATGAAACTTGGGAAGTGAAGATACTATTAACAGTTTTGAAATGAAATAGCAACGGACAGACAACTCAACACAGGACAGATCGGTTGATCGATCGATGCATAAAAAAAGAAGGGTGTATCGGTTTCTTTGCAGGAAACCAATTTGTATATTGCTTAAGAGAAGATTAAAGTATTAACCTTTCACCATTAATACTTCCATCATGCTTACCAAACGGCTCATCATATGTAACACCAATCCAATAACCATCTTTAAATTTAGTTGGTCCTATGTAGGATACGATGCCCTTTCTCTCTTTCTGATTCGAAATATGTACCGTACAGCGATCGCCAATCTTGAACAAATATTACTAACGCTACCTTTTTTTTAACTTGAAAGATCCACATATACTTTTCGTCTTTAATTCGTCTTTACCTTGCTAAAACCGCTGAAAAAAAAAAAACTTAATCCTACATTTATATCTTTATACAATATGTCTTCTAATGATGGATGTTAAAATATGGAACAGTCCATAAAACAACGACGTAAGAACTTATATGAAAGAGAGTTATATGGTTTTACTTATATTAGAGCTATTTCATTTAATTTATCTGTCGAGCAGATAGTGTATCCGTAAACAGAACCGACTTTTCAATATCCACTAAAATAAATGAAATGCAAATAAACCTTGAACTGCTTTGCTTCGTTTTCAGCCGCAGTAAGTGCATCGTATTTTATTTTCAAACCTTCACGTCGTCTCCATGCACGTACCGAGTCTAAGCAAAGACGATGATGACTTCAGTGCAAGTAACAAGCATTAAAGTTTTTTGTTTCAAGGGGAACAAAAAGGCAAAATTAGGTCACCTTCACGCTCATCGTACTTTCCCTCAGGCATTGTATATTTTTTAACCGCCGAAATATTCTCATAACTGATAGGATTGCCAGATGCATCCGCAACATGAATTTTCATCCCCGAAAATAATGACCATGAAAGATTGTCGAGGAAAGAAAAAAAGCTTAGATTTAAAGTCTTTAAAACTTTTTCGCTAAATACAAGATGGAGAAAGGAAAATTTTTTCTTATATTTGAAATTTAAGGTAGGGATATACTGGCATACCATCGGTCACGCCTAATTTCTCAAGAGTAGCCTGATCATCAGTCAACGATGATACAAATTTCCCATCCTTGTCATGCAATTCTGTTCGCATACACTCAGTCGGGCTACCAACGACTAGCACTAATTTTTTCTGAAAAAGAAAAAACTGATGGAAGTGGTTACATACAATTCTGCAAAGACCATCTTAATTCAAGGACAACGTGCAAAACAGATTCGTATGTCATACTGCAATTTAAATATTTTTAGTTTTGATTACAAAACTGCTACGAGACAGTAAATGCAACTAGGAGTCTGTACAGAATATCTGCATTATATTACGGTTGATCTAAGAAACGGAACCAAAATGGAAACAACGAAACTGTTTCCATTACAGAAGTAAACATCATCATCGTGCAGTCAGCACAGAAAATCGATTTTTGGAGATCAGAAAAGGAAGCAAAACAAACTTTCAGTTCATGAAGGGTCATCGAAGAGGGATATCGTTTCTCGTATGGGTACTGTCGCGAGTCAGAAGTGACTGTCAGGTTAACAACTTTAGTTGTCATTTTGAATTCTGAAACAGGTATAACTGGGTTTAATGTCTTCCATGGATTATGATTTAACTGTTCTAGAATCACTTCGCTGCATAAGCATATCGAAAATTAAGCCTATGGAATACGATTTACTCCAGTGATGGAAATCTAGACAGACCTTTCTTCCATAAATAGTAGGAATGTTAACGAATATAAAAGCAGCATACTGAAAGATTTGGTTCTATCCTTTTTGTCTCCTATAAAAGGTTAAGATGATGCCGCAAGAAAAGGTCAACCTGTCTAATGGCCATCACAACCACATAGTCATGACAATAAAGGAGGAGATGGTAACTTCAAATATTGTTGAAATGAAGAGAACGAGAGGGGAAATTAATAGCACGCGAGGAAGACAGTGCTGAAGTGGGGACAAAGAACACGAAATCCGACATCGGTAATGTAAGTCAACAACTGTGCAAAGGATGTACGGGCGCTCTTTCCTGCTCTCATTCGCACACTATCGATCAAACTCATGTCCCTCCTGATGTAGATAGATGAATAAACAGGGGGAGAGATGGAATATAGGATGGCTTGATATGGTACTAGTGTTAGAAGAGGATGAGGGGAGAGGAATGAGGTCGAATAGATTAGAAAGAGGTCGATTACAGCGATATCACACAAGGCAGTGATAAACTAAGGACTCTGATATGAGGCAACGGGAAATATTTGTTATTGAAGTTGTGGTAGCGTTGTGAGTGCACTTAGTATGACGTACGCGTTTTCCCTGTAAACATGTTGGCCTGCAGGGAAGGAATTAAATTTTGTTAATTTCATTAAAAAAGAGAAACAAGAGGAAAGGAAAATAATGGAACTTGTCTTTCATTGTTCAGCTTTTGAAGTCAAGTTATAGTTTAGATAAAATGAGGATGACTTGAATTGCTGCGTCGAGATTGACATCGACGGAAAAGGCGATTCCCTAGCTGAAGGTCTATCAGCAGCTGGCAGTTGCACCCACACTGATAACCAAGAAAGATTTTAAGACCATCATTTAAGACCATTTTAAGACCATTTAAGACCATCCTTGTACGGTATGGCCCACGTGATGTGGAAAGGAGCGGTGTGAAAAGTCTACCTTCTCTGTTTTAATGAACGCTGTTGGTACTTCATTAGTACTTAAAAAATAAATGGTATTTTGATATTTATAGTATATCAAGTGCCTCTTTGATTAGGACGTATATTTTGGGAGTGATGAGGAATGGCTATACTCCGAATAAGAGTATCCTAGAAGGGATCCATAATGGTTTTCAAATTATTTGTCGAAATCTGTGAGTGTACGAAACTTTTTTGTTTTCTTAGACCCATTTGGTGGATTCATTTATTTTCCAACTCTTAATTATAAATGAGATGCTATATTTTGAATTTGTGATACGCTTACAATTATTGGTTTGTTTTGCAGTACGCTATGATATGTGCTGTTTTATCGAAGTAGACAGTTTAGTTTTCGAATCATTTATTTTGGAAGACACTGTCGTTTGTCTTGTGATATTAAAGGAAGCAGTTGATGGTGGGTGATAAAGTAGGGAGGGCTTGTGTGACTTCGAGGGGTGTTTTCTCATGCATAACATTCGAGCAGGTATTTCATCAAAGTTGAATAAGCAGGCGTTTACGACAGTTAACTGGGTGTCACTCTAAAAATCACTCGCGCAGTGCTGCGCATCTCCGTTTCAAAAGATGTCATGTCTGTTTATGGCGACCTTCAGTCTGTCTTGTTCAGCAGGATGACCAATTGATGTGGTAAAGGTAAACGTCGTGAGCCGATGAAACCTTTTGATGTTTTCCTAGAGATAGTAGAACTTATCACTCACGAACTTTCGTAAAAAGTCATGCATTGCGACCTTAACTTGGATATTTACCGTGAAGAGAGGTTTGCTAGATCGCAATTAATCAAAGAGAAGTGAATAAAGGCTACGACTGCCTTCTTATCGAGTTCCATGTACCATCCACAATTTGCCATACACCTCACATTAAAATCGATACGATGATATTGATGGAATCAGGGTTACATGTAGGCATGCATCTGGTGTCGGTATTGCGTTCAGCTGATTACTATTCCATCGTATGTTGTTGTTAGTGAAATTCGTACGTTCATTTTGTTATATCACGTCACATAAATTGTAAATAATCTCCGAGGAAAGGCTGCAGATTCGGCTTATTTGGCTTACAGTAATGTCATTCAATCAAATCCATTAAAATTGTAGGTTAATTACCAACGGATAGAGGACATGTATATATATATATATATATATATATATATATATATATATATATATAT